TGTGGTGAACGCTCCGTAAATCGATCGACATACTCTCCGAATGATATTGTAAACCTTCTTGAATACTTGAAATCATTTGCACAGATTGGTGCCGTGTAAAACACGAGCCTGTCGGACCACTGAAGAGGATAATCATAAGCCAGAAACCCTTGTTTATGATCGAACCGGAATGGAGCAATAATTGATCCAAGGTCTGGAGTTTCGTGACTTCAACCAACGAAAAAAAAATTCGAACTTCTTTAAGAAAGGCAAGGTGGTCGAAATACATTGCTTCTATGAGGAACCATCGAATAGAGAGGTCAACGATTGATGTGAAGGATATCAATCTGAGATGAGTGAATGGAAGTGTTAGTGTAAGAATCGAATTGAGATCTTCCATTCGCAAGGTACAATCTTACATTGTGAGAGATATTATTTGTGTGTAATATATATGATTTTTTTTCACTAGGACGATTGGTAAGACAATTTTTCAGAAAGAAAACTTTTAGGTGAATAGATTGATGAAAAATGAGATGATATGTACTGTAAGTACACGTTTCAATCAACAAACAGCCCAGTTTGTTTGAAAACGGTCACGTAATAAATGCAGCAACGTTATTCGTATTCTTTAAACGTAAACTTTTGATGGTTGTGCTTAATAATAATATCTGATAGAATTTTCAGCAATTTTTCGTTAGGTTGATAAGGAAAATATATTGAAGATGCGATTAAACGTTTGTTTTTGTTAATGAGTGGAAGAAGTCTTTCGAAATGAGTAACTTCACGAAGAGTCAAACGTCGGAGTAAAGTGAACTGTTGAATATCAAATTGAAAAATAAGTGAATTGGAAACAATTAATGAAGTAACATTTTGTGCCTGCCCATGTGGTCAAAATCGCTAAAAAATCGACGATTTTATCGCAATTTATTAGGACGATTAATCGTGAGAGTTTATCGCGATATAATCGTTCAAAATGCCGACTTTGGCAGATATTTTTTCCGATTTTTAAGAAAAATCGCGATTAATCTACGATTGCGAAATCAGTCTAGGCTTTCCATGAATAAAAAGGTAGCAAAAACAAGTTTTTTTTTCAAGACTTTTCATGTCTATAGAACGAGTCTCTTCGTTATCTGTTTATGTTCTCTAAGAACGGCTTCATCCATTGGTATACCCTCATGCTTACTGAGCGGGTTCCAACTCGCTTTTTATTACCGTAGAGCAGATTCGATTAGATGAACTTGTATTTTCGAAGCACAGAACATACAATTATACTATACTTACGTATATATGACATTGTTGAATTTTCTACGTGTATTCAACAAAACTTTGTTACAACCACGAAAATGTTGCTACGAGTAAAAGCTAGGGATGTCATTTTCTGTTACTTTAAAATAAATATAAATAATTTTTTTTTTATAATTTGCATTAAAAAATAAATTTGAATGATAACAATTCATATTTAAAAATAAAAATTACTTCTAACTAAATTTATTTAAAATAAAAATTATTGTTATTTATATCTATCTTTAAATATAAATATTTTTTTATAGTCTATATTTAAAAATGTGAATAATGAAAAAAATTATTTTTTATTCAATATATCAGTAAATTAAAATATAAAAATAAATGGACACCCCTTAGTCATTTTTAATACGAAAATATATTCCACTACTTTATCAAGATCGTTTTTTAACAATATAATGAATCCATTGACCATGGCACTTATACCAGTAATTTAAAAAAAACAAATAAAAAAAAATAATTTAAGGATGGATGTGGGTGATAGAAGACTGACTTTCACTCCCAAACTGCATCCCACACCCAGACCTACCCTTTTTCCAACGCAAACTGAACTGCATCGAATCTAATTGAACTTGTCGGATTCGTTTTGGTCGCTGGTTCTTAATACAAGGTAAAACAGATGAGTAATTTATAAATTTCTATGGATGAAAAAAATTAATAAAATTTATTGTGAAGTGAGAATTTATATGAAAGAGAAGAGAAAAGAAAAAGTTGAAAATAACCTTCTTCTTTGTTGACTGATTGCACGAATGTCCTTGAAAATGTCCTTAAATTAGTTGGGATGATTGAAAGAAGCTGCCTATGTATAACGATCGAAAACTAATCTTCGTTTGTATAGGTATTAAGCAATAAAAATTTCTGTTGAAATCAATCAAAGATTTGTGACACAAGCCAATCATTGTAATACATAGATTGCGTAATTTAATATGATACAGTTCGACTAAACAAGAAGAGATTAGCAACTTCATTTTTTTTTCTTTATCTAAGCTAATAAACCGATAATTAACGGGTCAGAAAATTGTCTTCTAGCATATTATAAAACTTTAAAATATTTTTTCGGCGAAAACATCTGAAAATCCACAGTTAGTTCCGACCAATCATAAATCTCAAAATAATCGACGATTTATGACGATACATCGGCGTTACTCAGAAAATCGATGATTAATCGCGATGCATTTGCATTACTGAAAATCCGTGATTGCTCTCGATACATCTGCGTTACTCAAAAAATCAACGATCAATCGCGATTAATCGATCGTTTTATCGTTGAAATCGCAATTAATCGTTAACTTTTATGAAAATCGCGATAAATCATCAAAACTTAGGCGATTTTGATGACATAGGTGAACTATGCCGGAAATGATCTTGATATTTGATTCAGAACTTGAACTAAAATCGAGCTTTACTCAATCGTAGTTGTTAACATGTAGATATAAACATTTACAGACGCAATTAATTGAATAAACAAGGGTCTCGGTATCGATAAAATCGAAAATTAGATAATGAAGTTCAGAAGGCTAATTGACCAGAGAAGCATCGTTCGACATTGATGTATTTTGTATATTTAAAATGAATTCGGCCGTGTGTTTTATGTATTTCTGCTAGTTGTGCAAGACTTTTCGTTCCCAATCTTGACTCATACCATTCAAAATTACATACAGGAAAGAAAAGGTTATGCGGATTTTTCTCACTACATACATTAATGCACATCTGCATTCTAAATGTACCTAACTTCATCCATATGAGAGTGTTACGAACAGAATAGGGTGGGATGAAATCTCGCTTTTCCTTCAATAAAAGTTCATGAATATCACAGAAAGACTGTTGACATATGCTGACTCGAAACCATTTCATCAGATTATTGATTTAGTGCTTTTTTTATGATAGCTGAAAGAAAATCGACTATCGACACTTGACAATATACTTTTTTCTTCATTTACTTATCTCACACTTTTCTTCATTTACTTATCTCACATTTTTCTCCATTTACTTATCTCACGCTTTTCTCCATTTGCTTATCTCACGCTTTTCTCCATTTACTTATCTCACTCTTTTTCTATATGATAGCATTTGAGACTCTCAAAATGTATCCTGTGCAAACACATAGACTTTCGAAAAAAAACAAACCATAAATAAAAGTGTGTGTCTATAAATCTTTAACCGTTCTTTTTAATAAAAAAAAAAAGGGAGCAACCAGTTAGTCTTCGTGATAACAGCCGAAATAGGTAACCTCTTTTTCGTTTTTCATGATTTCTTCTTGTGTATTTCATATCTAATTCTGTGGAGAATTTCCGAGGTTTCTATTCGGTCTTCAGCCCGTTTGAATAGCAGAGATAAAGCGAAGAGAATAAAATGTGAATCTAATGCAATCTTGTTGATAAGGAGTATAATACGAAGTCTATTAATCAACATGAGTGTTTGTTTCACATACTTTTTTTTACAAGACCTATGCTTATAGTGGTCTTTGGCTGTACATCTCTGGTCTTCCCACTCTATTCATATATCTAAAATCATATTGAATCACTTCCTTAATCGACGGATCGAATTGGAAATGACTGAAAACATTCATATAATGATTTGATACGATTCATGACACATAAACATGACAAATCAACTCAAGAGGATCCTTTTGATGAATTCAGAAAATATTGGTATAATGTGAACGATTGAGCTAGCGGAGAAGCGTGAATGTCTTTCTTCTATCTGACTAATACAGTTTGAAATAAAATATCAAATGAGTGTACGAGAATCAGGAAAATGTTTTCTTTATCAAAACTTCAAGAGAACTAAGTCTAAAAATGCGTGTCAATGGTTTTGTTGCGTCATATATCACAATTCCCATGTGATGAAAATCGCACAAAAATCGGCGATTTATCATGCCGATTAGTTGTGAGATTATATCGCGATTAATCGTTCAAACTTAGGCGATTTTGACGACATGGGGAGTATCATATGCTCTGGAACAAGAAAAGCATTTATTTTCTTCTTATTCACTTTTTCAATTCTGGAAAAAGAGAACGAGAAACTCACATTGAAAGCACATGCGAATATGAAAAAAATGGTATGAATGCTAAGTTGCCACAGATTCCTCAAAGAAAAGTTTAAAAAACATCTGGTTCGAAGCTAGCCATCCATCTAGTGCAGAATATTAAGATTTCAGGTAATGATTACCGACTTTGATAGATATATATATATATATATTATCAGATGGGTATTTGTTTTGAAGATAGAATAAGTATATGTTATTCGTACAAGTTCGCAGTTTGTAATTTCCATAATATCTAATTTATTTTTGATTTGATTCTTGTATTGAAGTTCAAGATAATATAACAGATTTGAAAGCGCTACCGTTCACTGATAACTTGACGTTAATGTGATAGTCTAAAACCTACCGATTCATATCATATTATAGTATAAATAACAAGCTAAATTTATACACAAAAGGATTATTCTTTTTTGTTTTAGATTATTTCTTTTTGCTTTGTCGACAATATTCACTATACTGATCTTGTGATTATTGACTTCTCGTTGTCGAAAATATGAATTCGAAACATACTGGTGGCTTAAAAAAAATCTATGAATACAGTGAAGACATAACGGACTCTAGAGCACGTAGGCTTGTGACAATGTACAACGAACGAAAGAGTAGCGCAAAGATTGAAAAGCAGAACATTTATCTTCTGGAACAACTACAAACGCGTATAAAAAAGTTGACATTGATGAGGCATGATGAAGTAATGAGAGTCTACTCGAATGTGAATCTTCGTAGGAATCTGCCAGAACTGTCACCAATACCATCGGCTCGACAACGATCAGTCACAGCAAAGGTTAAACCATTAAGACGATTACCTTTACCGCCACCTCAAATAGAATCATGTAAGACGAACAAAGAGTCAGAGGAGCTAACAATTGAAAAAGGTACTCGTACGAATGAAACGAATTGAGGAAACATTTAATGACAATCGCTCGAGTTTTTATTATGATGATCTTAGATAACATTGGCCCATCTGCTTTGGACGAGGGAGAAAAAAGATTGAGTTAGCTCGAAGTCTATAGCTTGAACTATATCGAAAACAACTTCACTCAAATGCAGTGTTCATTTTAAATGTAATCTAGAAAATATGGATCTAAGATCGACATTTTCGTTATACTAATTTACTCTCATCATAGGTCCGTGCAAACTATGAAGGTAAAAAAATGAGAATTGTACAAATCTAACCCGCAGGTGTGCTTCGTATTCCAAAAAAAACCATAAAATGATGGTGACATTTTGATAAACAACCGTCTCCAAGACTTGCCAAAAAGATCGATGTGACTAAGTCTTGAGCAAGTCAAGTATTTTCAACTTTGTTAGATCTGCAACCAATATACTATCGCTAGAAATGCGGATAAAATTATTTAAAGAAGACGAAAATCATATTTTTAACAAATCAGAAACACGTATTTTAGATTCAAGATGACGAAAAAATTATCATAGAAAGATTGATCTTGCGTCAATTGTTAAGCATCGTCGTGGATTCTCTCTAGACAAATGAGAAACAGCAAAAACATATGTCTTTTTAACTCTGTTCGTTTATTTTTAGACGGAGAAATAAGTCAACATGTTGAACCAATAATTGATAGGGAATTCGAAGATGAAACGCCAGCAGAAGAACACTTTGAATGGTCTACAGAACCAATATATCCAACCGAAGAAGCTTACTATGAAAAATGTCAACACTATTATAATATAACACATATGCCTCTCATATCTGTGTCTGACAACATTTTTGACGATAATATTGAATTAACATCGGCAACATTAGTATTTGCTATTGATGAAGATCAGAAGGAGTTTGATGTAAAAAATTTTTTTAAAAAAATTTGTAATCTCTTCAATATTAGTGATATTGTTATTAGTAAAATTCAGAAAGGTTGTGTTAAAGTAGTGTTTGACTTTATCAAAAATCTTGCTTCCCAACCAATAACAATTCAAGTCAAGGCTCTATATTATTCACTTACCGATAAAATCAAAGAGGAATTGGCTAACTTAAAAGTTTTCTTCATGTTTATGGGTGATCTTAAATCATTAGACAGCAAACAAAAATTTCGTTATGACATGACCCTCTATCCACAATTTAATCATTTATATGTTCCAAATAAAACATTTTGGACCGGTACCTCTCCGGATGGATTAGATCGTGGTAATCAACCATATTATTGTCCTACTGGATGGAAAAGATACTCATTTTATGTTACTGAGAATTTTTATGAAAAATTCAAAGGATGGTGTATATGTTACCATGGTACGAAATTTTCTCATGGTCTCTCGATTTTGTTGAGTGGATTAGCACCAGCACGCATAGCAGCACATGGTCAAGGAATATATGCAACTCCATCAATTACTTATGCATGTCATCCAAGATATTCTGAAGTGAAAAAAATCGAATCCTCACATGAGAGAGTATTTTTCAAAAATGGAAATTATATTCAATTTGTATTACAATGTCGTGTTCATCCAAACAATATGATTAACATTGATCGTGAAACATTGAAAGCTTCTGCAACTAAAATTGATTCAAACATAAACAATGACGCTATCGAATGGATTATTGATGCACAAGAAAAATCTTTGATGGATTTTAATGATCCAAATTCTACTATTATTTGTACAGGTATAATGGTGCGTGTTACAGACAATCATCCTGGTTTATTACCTGAATCACAATGGTGGTATGAATCGCATTTATGTGATAATCAGGCATGTTGTATTCTGGGTATGAAACTTGATGAGTTGAAACGGCAAAAAGAAAATGGCGTTGAATGTAACATTGTCCTCGAATAAACAATTGCTTTAAGTTTTGAAGATTTCCTTCTTGTCGTGAACACAAGGATTATGTCCTTCTTATCATCTGCACAAGTTTGATCTAAGTCAACTTTTTTTCCTTTTTACTTCAGTAAAGCTTGGTAGATGCCGGTTATTTTTGTTTGGTAAATTTTTAGTTTATGGAACAAGGGTGTCGGTGTGAGTGTGGATGAGGGTGTGGGGTGTGGTCGTAGGTATGGGTGGGGTTGTGGGTGTGAGTATCGGTGTGATTGTGGGTATGGGTGTGGGTGGATGTGGGTTTGGTTAGATGTGGGTGTGAGTGTGAGTGAAGATAATATCAACACCCACACCCACCCTCACGAATCTTTAATGTCTATAATTTCAATTGTCAATGACAATGACGATAATGACAAATCATTCATATTTTCGATTCGACAAATTTACAAAAATTTATTTATTCTTTCATTTGCCTTCGTACTGATGTTTACCGCCTACAGTGGTATGGCAGCACTTCAATCAAGTTTAAACACAAAAGATAATGTTGGTGTTAATTCTCTGATTATAACTACTGTTTTTGTAATTGGAGCTCATAGTGAGCCAGATATTGACAACCTAACTCAGTGTTTGAACCGGGTACGAATTAAAATTGTATATAGAAATACAGCAAAAATTCTGTTACAGAAGGTTTCACGAAAATAGTGAGATGGCCATAGTTAAGGAATCCTTTCTTTCCATGGTTTTTAGAGAATGGTTCATAAGAAAGATTTGAAAGTTTCAGGGTAGCTAGATCTCGATGAGTAGACCAAAAGTTGTCATAGTCTCAAAATTCCTAAATACTTCCTTTTAGAAGGTATGGAGGCCGTAAAGGCTAAAAATCGTCCCTTCCTAATCGTCCCGCTTTTTCAGCTGCAACATGTTTCTTCCATTCGAATAAAAAAGAGCAAAATATTGCGTATATCGCAAAAAAATATGTTTTTTTATGAATTGTTTTTGTAAAATCTACCAAAAATCAATAGGGCAACATTTTTCAAAACAAAAAAAAATAGACACCTCACATAGTGTCTAGTACTTGTAGAAAAAAACAAGGTTTCAGCTTGATCGAGCGTACATTGTAGGAGAAACGGGAGCGATTATGCTTCTTTTCTATGTGAAAACCACTTTCAGGAAAAACAAAAAACCATTTTTTTTCTGTATGTTTCAGGACGTTTTTCTCTAACTAAATTAATCGAAAGCTGGGCGTATTTAGTGGTGTAAGAGGTCTATGATCCATGCTCTAAGCACCTTTAGAACAAAAAAATAATCATTATCATCAGACGAATTTTGGATACCACAGAAACATAGGACACTTAGGAGCTGTATAAGTGATGAAAAACCAAAAAACGAAAAAAAAAAAACTTATTTTAACGTCCGAAAAGAAAAGTGTCCCTTAAGAATATCTAGAAAATAGAAGTATATTTTACTTAAGTCTGTTTGTCTAATGAACAATTGAACGCTTTTACGCAAGATCTTCTTGTCTAAATAAATTAAATGAAATGAGCGTTTTCTGTGGTGGTGACTATAAATTTTTTTTTGAATAAAAAACCACGAATGTTTTTGTTTTTACATCATAACTAGGTTATGACTCCCGTAAACGAGAGTAAGATCACGCTGAGCTGGACAGAAGTAGGTCAGGCAGAGTCATCTTTTTAAAATTTTTTTTAATCGAAGATTGAACGATTTTTAGATAACTCGATCCAATCCACACCACGTTTTGACTTAATTCAACTCAAGGCCTAGCAAACAGTCAGCGAAAAGAGAGAATCTTTCGAGCGACTCCGTATAGTTTTTAAGGTTATATGACTGACTAAGTTCCAAGAGAAAAAATCTTTTTTATTTTTGATTACCCAACCTGACTCACGACGAGCATGGTTCTGAGTCCTGCTGTGCATTATTTGATAGTGAAAAGAAAATTTTTTACTTGCAGTTTAGTTCAATTTTTATCATTGGCATTTCCTTGGATATTTTTGGACTTAAATGGAGTATTATTCTTAGTGAAATTGGTTATATTTTGTACATTGTTGCTAATATTTATCCTTTACCTGTATTTATGTATATCAGTAAGTTTTCTTTTGAATAGAGTTTTCTAGTGAATGCATAACTTTTTTTGTTCTTCCAGGTGCAGCTCTTGTTGGTTTTGTTGCTGCTCCATTATGGGCATCTCAAGCGGTATATCTTGGTCGCATTGCTCACTATTATGCACAACATAAACATCAAACACCAGAAGTCTATGTTAGCTTATTTTTTGCAATCTTCTTTGCTATCTTTGGTACAAATATTTTTTGGTGTAATTTAATATCATATTTTGTGCTTAATCAATCGAATCATCACAGAAAGTTAATTGTGGAATATATTTCAATCCAAAATCAACCTTAACTATAAATAAGACTGAAAATGTCAATGGTACAACGGTAAGCGTTTTTATTTTAATGAACTAATTAATAAACCTTATAATGATCGTTTTGAATTGAAGCGTTATGTGTTGTGTGGAATATTTGCCGGAATTAGCATTATCTCAATGTTATTGCTATTTTTTATACTTGATTAAGTTCGACTTGCTCAACGACGTGAGTAATTATTTGTATATTGTGAAGAAAGAGAATTTTTAATTTGATAGAACCTGTTCGTCAATCATTGAAGAAGGGTATTGAAGTGTTGACATCATTATTTCGATGGAAATACATTGATCAATTTTTTCTTATTCCATTGATAATGTGGACTTTGATCGAGCATGACTTTTTAATAGCACAGTTTACTAGAGTAAGAATGGCATTGTACAATCAATTATTAAATTAATGTATTTCAGGCTTTCGTCAGTTGTCTTATTGGCATTCGGTATAACTCTATTTTTGCTAGTCTATAGGATCTATTTTAAACTTTGAATAGATATATTGGACTTGTTATGATTTGTAATGGAATATGTAGTGCTTTGAGCAGCTATGTGTTTGGTTATCTCGTTAAATATATCAGTCGTATAGGATGTTTCATAGTGGCTGCTATGCTCAACTATGCCATGATCATTCTAATGTTTCTTTGGAAACCGAACGATGATCAAATGATAATTCTCTTTATTATAGCCGGTGTTTGGGGCATTGCAGGTGCTATCTGGCAGTCACAACTCATTGGTATATTTTGTTCTCGAAAAAGAAAAACTTATTTATTTGTTTTCTATGTGTTTCAGCTACTTATACGGTACTCTATTCTGAAAGTGATCGAACTTCTCTGGCTAAATATCGTCTTTGGAAATCGATCGGTTCTCTCGTTAGTTATAGCGTAATTCTTTTTTTCACTCATCCGTTCTTTTGTAGAATTTATTCAAAGTCTGTTTTAGTACGCTAGCTATATAACCATTCACCTTTCGTTGGTTCTCCTTCTTGGCTATTTGACAATCAGTATGATTTTCTATGGTTTTATGGAAATTCACCTTCGATGGAAAGGCAATCGGAAAAAACTGGACGCTGTGATCACTCACTCCTAATGACATTAACTTGACTTTTTCCTCTTACTCGCACTTTGTTTTTAAGTAAAAACTACATATGTATTTGTTATAAATATTATGATGGTTAAGTTCTAATACAAATCGCTGATGAGATACGATTCGAGCTTTTGTCTCTTTTCAAAAGATACCGTTAAGAATAACAAGTACAATAAATAATCACAGTTCCATTGAAACTTTCCAACGAGGTGTGATTGTGAACTCACTTTTCGCCTACCCACACCTACAACCTATACTACATTCCAATGAGTAAACCTAACTACACTTTGCCTGAATTGGTTGATCATCATCATCTCTGTTAATTGAGTGTGCGTTTCTCTTCTACTTGGCAAAGAAAGTCTTATTTGTGTTGAGCATTGCAATAATGTCTTGTTTTTCCATATTTATGTTTTCACTGCTTATAGAGAAGTCTTTTATTAGGTTAAAGAATGTGGCATGTTTAGTCTCTAGAAAACTTTAACATGATCAGCCATGAACAACAACTTATATCATTGATTAAAATCGAACCAAATAAGTTCTTGAAGTCAAAAGGATAGTTTATTAAGCAACATTTATTGGTCGCGAAATACAGAAAAAAAATTGCTTTTACAATGTTCAATGGTCATCTGAAATGTTTCAAGCCTGTTATTTGGGACGCATTGAGATTAACGTCGGTGTAATGGTATTGGTATGTATCTGATGTCGACATATTATTAATCTTTTCAATTTTGTCGAAACTTCAGGCAGTGCCCTGAAACAGACAAATGGCAATAGAAGAGGCAGAAAATATCGCGTAAAATAGATGTATAATTTAAATTGCCCAAGTGCATTCTTTCCCAAGCCACAAACTTCAGCAAGAGAAATAACTACTGTAGGCAACATAAGGAAAAAAAATAATGCTGAAATTGACAAAAGTTGAATAGCCGTTTTTCGTAATTTACGCCATTCAAAACGTTGATTTAACTCTCTCTTTTGTCGAATAACACGAACAAGCAGAAAAATACTAAAGAAAACAATAATAAACGTCATTAAAATGGCATTGGTTATTGTGCCATACATTGTAATTCTTTGAATTGTCGTAAAACATGGAGTAGTACACCAATTAATTGAATATATAAATAACTGTTGACAAGGTGGAAAGCAAATAACATAAGTATAAAAAATAAGGCCATAGACGATGATTATAACCAAAGGTAGATAATGAAATAGAAAACATTTTCTTCGACTTGATACCCATTGATCATGAAATATCAGGATATGCCGTTCAATTGAAGCCCAAGCCATAATAATACCCGTTGTAGTAAAAATACCGATATCCGAAAACTGCCATGCAAGACATGTAGTAGGAATTTGAGGCCATACATGTCCTAAGTGTAGAAAATTGAGTTGTATTGGAAATCCAATCATTAGACCATGAAAATTCACGATTAGAAGAACAATAATAACATGATTATTCAATGGACTTCGTAGACTTCGATCTCTGATGAAATAATAGAGAAGTATGAGAGTGCAAAGTATAGATGGTATTAAAAGAATAAGAAGAAGCCAAAATCGAACTGGTCGAGGTAAAGAAATTTCTGGAAATAATGCTTGTAGTGGTGTACGTCCATATTCATCAGAACTGTATTGTGATGAAAAAGTAGTTGTATCCATTTGAACAAGCAAAGATCAATGAAGAGCAAAGTGTCGTTCTGTTGAATATCACAATTTATTTTTCAGAAACACATAATGAGAATAAAAAATCGTGTGGGTAGTAATGATTTATGATGTTATTTTTTTTTTATTTCAGAAAAGCTCGTTAGGATACATATTGTGTTATTTTTATTTAGCTTCTCTTTTGTATTTTCTAAACATTCGTTAATCAACTGTCATTCTGTTTGATGTCTTTCTTTGTATTTATTCTAATTATAGAAGAAATTATCATTCTATTCAAATTCAGAATATAATTCATTGATTATAACTTGAAAATGTAGGTTATATAAAAGCATG